AGGGGGAGGGGGAGGGGGAGGCGCAAGGGGTAAGGGGTAAGGGGGAAGGGGGTGAGCGAGTAGGCGGATAAGCGGGTGAGGTGGTCATCAGATATAGAGCTCTAAATTTGACCAAGTGTAGACAAATTATGGCATCATTGCAAGTAGGCAAATCAATCATGGGCAGTGAACGTACCTCTCTGTGCGCTGCCGGTGAACTTGACGGGAACTGAGTCAGCCGACAAGGCAGTTCTTGTAGGAAGCTTGGGGCTTGCGTGTCTTCGAAGCATTAGCATGCTACGTCTGTGCAACAAAGTTAGCTGTCGTCTTGGAAGGCTGGCAGCAGAAGGTTCAAGTGCAGTCGCGTGCTCAGTAAGTCTTGGATAGAATTGTCATATCGAACCACAATGGATTTACCGATCAATCGAGACGCCAAGATGAAAGTCATCATTGCAATGGGGTTGAAATTGTATCGAGTACTTACCCAACTTGGAACAGACCAAGGTAGTGGTGGCGTTGAGGTTGGCCACAGCTGGCGATGCGAATCCTAGTTGCGAAAGGTTAGCAGCAGCCAGGAAGGAAGCTCACGAGAAGCAAAGCGGGTGTCATGCGGATCAGTGTTGTGTTTTGTGTAGTATTGACGATGGGACTTTTTTCAATTGAGACCTCGTTCGGGTTCCATCAAGTTTCTTTTCAGTGTTTTCAGTCTCGGTCCGCTCTGTGAAGAGCATTCCGATACTATTGCATCATTTCCAAAGTCTGCTGTCTGGACTTTTGCACTCACCGTTTCATGTGGTGTTGGCTGAAGGTGTAGAGAGGCTGCGAAGGACAAATGAAGGGCGGCGGGATCGAAGGGATACAGGCGGTACAAGTAGATCGGCTTCGCCTGAAATGCAAGATTAGTAAATAGCTTGCTGGCGAGAAGGTAGTAGAAGGTGCAAGAGTCAAGGAAGCCTCAGAATCTGTTCTAATTTCGAGCCGAGAACCACTGTCAGGCTAGCCCAAGGAACGGCTGGCAAACCGTAGTCGGGCTCTCTGACTCGTCTCCATTCGAGTTCAGTTTAGAGCGGATGTCATCATTGGCAATTGGAGGGCAGGGAAATGCGAGCTTACCGTGTGGCACAGGTGGAAGGTGTTGCTTGAAGCGATGTTGACAATCCGGTGGAATCTTGGTGGCGGCGAAAGGACTGGCTGTAGAACGAGTGTCCGTTGTGTTGCGGCCGACTCTCATGGAGGCGTGATCTGCAAAAGAATGTGTCAGCGTCCTGAACGCAACAGAAAAGAGGATGCATGTGTTTTTCAGTGATGTTCTCAGAGTTTCGCGATGTGATGGTATCAGCGAGGCTGCTGTCCACCGAACCACAGTAGGCTAGGTTGAATCCACCAAACCACAGTAGGCTTGGTTGGACGCGTCCTCATCAATAAGTGTGTATCCGATTTGGTGTCATCATTGAACGAATGGAGACGGTGCGAATGGTGTTGCTTACCTGATGAAGATGCCAGTCGACAGTGGGATGACGGTGAAGTGGTCGCAACGGCAAGGGGATGGTTGACTTGCTGCTGCGCGGTGCGCGAAGAGTTCACCTAAAAGATTGAACGCGTCAGCGACCGTCGAACCACAACAAGAGACGGGCTTGAGGTTGCTTGGACGCGTGATCAGACCGCTCTCTGGGTGATATCATGGAGAACCATGCCCATCGAACCACATGGGCTTGAAAGGGAGGTCCTCGTCGATAAGTGGAGCATCAATGCTCGGTACTGCAAGTGTAGTGGTGCAGGCCAAGCTCATCATCGCAAAGTGATGGTGTTGCTGGTATGCTGACTCACCTGGCGAGGCTTGACCGTCCAGACAGCGGCGACGACGAGATGGTCGAGGCCGCGTGGCGGAGAGTGGAAGTTGCCGAGAAGGAACAAGACCCATGTAGGTGAATGAATGAACAAGTGGCAGCGGCGATGAGGCGCGCCTGCGGTGATGGTGATGGGGAAGAAGAGTGAGAAGGTGGTGGTGGTGGTGGTGGTGGTGGTGGAGGGAAGGAGATTGTTGATGCTGTGCGTGAGGTTGCCGCGACAAGAGCTGCCTACGAGCACCGGCCACCCCTGACGCAAGCCTTCGCTCAGCATCAACGCCTCTGCATTGGGCCAGCCCTTCTACTGTCTTCATCCACCGACATCACTGTCCACAACAACTCCTCCGGCGTTTGTGCCTCTGTTGCCCTCACCGAGCGGTGCATTGCGTACGCTCCCTTCATCCGCTGAGAACCTCTCGTTGACGCTGACCAGTGCACCAGCATCAAGGCCATGGCAGACTTTGGTATTGGCGGCTACTCTGGATGGCCGAGCAAGCCTCGCCCACCACCACAGCCGCGAGACCCACCAAATGGCATCGCCTTTGGTATGCTCTCGATTTTTCCATCTCCTACGAGAAAAGACTGACCCTCATAGAAGCGCTTGCCTGAGCGCCCAACAGCAGCAGCAGCAGCAGCAGCAACAACAACAACACCAAAAGGAGCAGCAGCACGACCACTCACTCAGTGGAGAGGTATGACCTTGTGCATCCCATTGTAAACCTCCATCTTTGAACTCCAATCACTGAAACTTTTGCTTCGCAGCCCAACGACTCCTTACACAAACGACTTCGTTAGCGTTTGTCACCACAATATCTCCTCCTCGGAGAACAAGGCCATTGCCACAGGAATACCACAACTCATCGCCCCCCTACATCAACAACATCTTTGGCGTCTATCACATCCCTCAGACGACGCCCGCAAAAGAGCTTGGTAAGCCACATTGTTACAGCACGACTCCATTCATCACGCCCTCGCTGACATAAATCCCCAGATGACCTCCGGTGGCGCCCGGCGACGATTGCAGTCTTTCTTTGGCGTTTGGCACGACAGAACTTCTGTTGCCAGCAGCGAGCATCACTTACGCCTTGGTCACGAAAATTACGGAATCAACTCCATCAGTTCACATATGGGCTGCACCAGATGTGAATGGTATCCTGCACTACTACTATTGCTAGAGGAACCTTTGCGAGCATGTCTCTTGCTATGACCGACCGTGTTCAAGGCAAGATGGTACGCTACACTCTTCCAGTCGCTTCCCCTCAACCTCCAGCTGGCCTCATACTCCCAGTCTCGAATCTTCCTCGACTGGTGGCGCGGGAATCCGACACTACTCTGCTGGGACTGGAGGCACATACGTGAAACAAGCGAGAGGAAGTAAGTGACGTGCAACGCAACAGAGCATAGCTTGAGAATATCATTTTGCTGAAAACCCATGGGATTTCACTCCAACCAATTCAAAATCCTCTCCTCTCCTCTCCTCTCCTCTCCTCTCCTCTCCTCTCCATTCACCGCCCTCTGCATTCCCCGTGACCAGCTTCGTGTGCCAGTCATCTCCTCCTTCTCGCAAGAAATCTCTCCCCACGATAATCCAATCTCAAAACATCAATGGCATCACCAAATGCTCAAATAACTCGCGACGTTTCCCCATCCAAACAAACTTTGCTGAGCAGGGAGTCACCTTCAAGTGAGAACTCATCGCTAACCTTCTTGTCGCTCTATCTCCTTTAAGTCTCGCTCCAACCGCGAGTAGCAGATTTCCGTGCAAGTGCGCAGAGAGGGGGTTCTGCTTGGAGCGAGAAGGTATTGGATGGAGGGTTGTGAGGAGAGTGATGTCTTACTTGATTCTGGAGATGGTGCTTGCGATTCTAAAGAAAGGATTTCTGGTTCTTTTTCTTCTTCGTGGTTGGATAGTGTGAAAGGCAATGGTGCGTGAGAAGGCGCGTGCGATGGAGGTGCGAGGCGTGAGGTGAATGGCGGCATGCTGGCGTTCAGGGAGGTTGGCTGGGTTGTGGGACGGGTTCGATTTATATGGTCTGGTGTGGTAAGTGGCGGTGTCAGCTGCGTGTGGTTGATGGAGATGTTCTGGCGTGACAAACCGGCGGCCATGGGTCTGCCAAAATCACCTGGTCGAACACATGACTTGGTGGGCAGGCCATAAAGTTCTCACATGGCGGGTCAGAGGTTCATCGAGAAACGATGAGGGATATGAATGAATGGCCAAGCAGGGCCGCGAGATCAGCAAAGCATCTTTCCTACGACCCGTCGACTGTAGCGTACGACTGTTTATCTTGCCATTGGTCCTCGAGCTCCTCTTCCATCGCTATACAGCATCACAATCGTACAACTGACGACGACTGGCCGGTTTGCACGTGAAGATACATCCTCGGTCTGAAGACGTGATCAGAACAAGTCGGTATAGCCTTACAGCCTCGCACAAAACAAGCTCCAAACTCGTACCAGGGGTTCGCTCAAGTCAGAAATAATCCTAACGCATCATGGGGCCATAAGCGACGATTCGAGCAAAAGTTTCAATGTCAGGCTTTGCATACCAACCAGAATTATCAATGGTAGAATAATCCTTGTCAGCACATCCGATATCGCTTCGGTCGGGAGGGAGATGTCGTTCAGCTATCTGCGACAGAGATATCCGCCGCCATCCATCATATTAACATTTGTGATACAGCCATACGCTCGCAGGAGCAATAATTCTGAAACCCACATCTCCCTTTCGAAGCAAAAGGTGAAGTCCAAATCCAACGGCCGCGGACAAACCTTCGACTTCCACAGTGCTTGGCCTCCGCCGATCGCGGCGCTTACATGTTCTATGCGGAATTGAAGGATTCAAGTGGAGAAGCACCGCAGCTCTCTGTCTCTTGTGTCGTGCAAACCAATCCCAGTCTTCGTTCTTCAATGCTTCGAAGGGATCTCACCTCCACGAGCGCCACCTGCAGGAGGTCGTCGTCCGAGAAGGCCAGACTGCAACGACAACGACATCACCATGACTGCCGGGAAACGCCGTGAGCGGAGACTGCCCGTGCAGCAGTTGTCGATTCTGGGTAAGTGGCATGGCGGCAATGATGAGAGGAGAAAGGGGTTGTCGCGGACGGTCTGAATGAACGAACGACGATTCTACTCGCGAAGAAAGAACATGACCGCAAACCTCCCAAAAACCACCCACCCACCCACCAGCTAACCCTCCACCTCTCCAGCAATCTGCCGTTTCGCCGAACCCATCGCCTCCACCTCCCTCTACCCCTACCTCCCCGAAATGGTCGAATCCTTCCGCATCCCACAGAACGAAGTCGGAAAATGGGCCGGAATCTGCGCCGCCGTCTTCTCCCTCTTCCAAGCGCTCATGGGAATCCCCTGGGGCCGTTTCAGCGACAAATACGGGCGCAAACCCGCCATCCTCCTGGGCCTCACCTCCACAATGCTCACATCGTTGCTCTGGGGGTTCAGCAAAAGTTTGCCCATGGCGATCATCGCGAGAGCGCTGGCGGGGGCGGGGAATGGGAATGTGGGGATTATCAGAACGACGGTGGCGGAGATGGTGCCGTACAAAGAGTTGCAGCCGCGAGCGTTTAGTATTATGCCGTTGGTGTGGAATGTCGGGAGTATTTTTGGGCCGACGATTGGGGGCGCTTTGGCGAATCCGTTTAATGTGAAGCCGGGGGAGAAGAGGGAGGGGGGGAATTTGTTTGAGGTGTTTCCGTATTTGCTGCCGAATTTGGTGAGTGCGGCGTTTTTTGCCTGTGGGATTACGACGGGGGTGTTGTTTCTGCATGAGACGCTCGAGGGGGTGCAGGGGAGGAGGGATTATGGGTTGGTTGTGGGGAGGAAGGTGATGAGGTTGGTGCGGATGGTGGAGGTGAAATTGCATGTGAGGAAGAAGGAGGAGGTTTCGTATACGAATGGCGAAACAGATCCGCTCCTCAAGCGACCCAAGTCTGTCCACGACGATGAAAATTCTCTGCCCTTGGAGATCAAACCGAAGCTCGCAGCGCCGAGCTGGAGAGAAGTCCTCAACCGCCAAGCCGTCATAAATCTCATCGTCTACACCCTCCTGGCCATGCACTCCATGGCCTTCGATCAACTCATCCCAGTCTTCATGCAACACGACTCCATCAACGACCCCAAAGGCGACTTCACCCCCTACACCCCGCCCTTCAAATTCGCCGGCGGCTTCGGCCTCAACCATTTCCAAATCGGCCTGATGTCAACCGCATACGGAATCGTCGGGATGCTAATCCAATTCTTCGTCTTCCCACCTCTGGCGCGCCGCTACGGCATTCTCTTCTGGTTGAAAGTCGTAGCCATCGGCTTTCCGATCATCTACTTCGTCACGCCTTTCACCGCCCTGCTCCCAACGACCACCTCTCAAGTCGCGTGCATGCTCGCCATGATGTTGTTGAAATGCTTGATGGGCATTTTCGCGTTTCCTTGCAGTACGATTCTTTTGACGAACTCCGCTTCAAGTCTACGCACGCTCGGGACCCTGAACGGTTTTGCAACCTCCGTCTCAGCAATCGGTAGGGCTGCAGGCCCTGCCATGACCGGAGCCATCATGTCCGCCGGCGTCAAAGCAGGCTATGTCATCGCACCTTGGTGGTTTCTCGCAGGCGTTGGCATCATCGCCGCAATCCCCGTGTGGTGGCTGGTGGAAGGCGAAGGTTTCGGTGGAGATGATGATCACGTCAGCGACGAAGAGGACGAAGACGATGACGATGACGATGACGAGATTGAGCATGATGTTCTCCGAGCCGTGGCTGCAGAAGGCGGCGCTCAAGCTGCTGGGAAAGGTGTTGTTCCTGCACCCAGACCTTCGAACCAGGAAGACGAAGAGCATGAGGAACGTGCGTATGGTGGGCTTGCGCCGCTGAGTCGGACGAATACCACTGCTTCTACGGCTATGATGAGTGACGAGGAAGATTTTTCTGCCCCGGCGACCAAGACGAATACGAGGAGTCGGCGGGCTTCTGGGGTTAATGAAGTTGCGTCTCCGTCGTTGAGTCGGAGGAATTCGAGGAGAGTGATCCGAAGGATTTCGATACCTGTTGGTATGGGTGAGGGCATCAGTCGAAGGTATAGCAGTAATTTGGGACAGAGTTTCGGAAGTGCGGGTGGGCATTGATGATTGTATCGCATAGCGAGGCGGTTGGCATAATAGCATGGTCAGTCAGTCAATCCACAATCTTTCTGAATCTACATCCTCACTCTCCCATCCCAAACGCAAATCCTACATACAATAATGCAACCCTCTCTCTCCCCCTCCCACCCTCATCGTCCAACTCTCCCGCACATGTCATTTCCTCCCTTTTTCATCCCCCATTACCATCTCCTCCAACCCAACATGAAAAAAAGTCACGGAATGTTGATAATGATAAACGAAACTGTACGTTTTCTAATTCCGTTCCTATATCGTTCGGGATGCTTGGGGATATAGGTTTCCGTGAAGCATTGAGAACCCATAGAGGGAGATTTCTAGGTGGGAGAATGGTGTTTTAGAGCATATCGCAAAGCGGCTTGGAATTTTTAGGGGATTTTGAGGACTTCTTGCATTTCTACTCGGGATTTATTTTGTTTCAAGGACGTTGGAAGGAGATTATTGGCTGTGAAACGTATTTGTTTTGCTTGGGGTTGCGGTTACGGAGCGGGTGCTGTTAGTTCACTCCCTCCGTCTCCGAGTTTTGTGATGTTGAGGGTGAAGTGCTCACTGGGGATTCCGCCGAGGATGAAGTTCCGCTTATGCGGTGGATGATTAGATTTGGTGAGATGGTTTGGGCTGCTGTCCCAGGCGGAGAGGGCGTAGAAGAAGCCGCCGTATGCTCCGTTGGCTCCACCGGTGGGTTCGTAGGCTTTTGTTGTGGACTCGTAGGTCCAGTCTGAGATCCTTTTGACTCCCATGTAGTCAATGAGGCTGAGGACCTCGCCTTTGGAGTTGAAGTAGGGTTTGGGTGTCATTGTGGGATCGTACAGTGAGTTTAGCTGATCAGCTGAGAACAGCTAAGTTCTCATGAAATGCTTGATATCGAGTAGTGGATATAGGAACCGCAAGGTTCAATAACATTGCCGAGGAAAGGAGTTTTGTTACTATGCTATCTTCAGCGAAGCGATCGGGCTTTGAGAAGGTATGCGAAACGGAGTGGTTTCGTTGAAGGTAGGGCGTAGCGTGTCGAGAGTACGATTCACGTAGTATGGAATTTCCGGAAGACTTTTGGCCTTGACTGGTGAGCCTCAACTGACCATGATGGAATGACTGGCTGGGTATCAGACATGATGATCAACAAGCGCTGCCTGTTCCTTTTGCACTTGGTGCAGATAAAGAAGTCGTTGTGCATGTCTCAAATCCGAGGCAGGAAGAGATTTTGATAACAGAAACCCCCATCCAGAGATATCAGAGTGGTCCCATATCATTCTGTAAACTACATCAGTAGAAATCTGCCTGCCTGAACCCCAGAAAGCGCATCCAAGGCAATGCCGCCATGCTCAATCCCACGGGCAAAGTCTTCTAGATCACAGCCGTTGAGCTCATTACTCGTGACCTGCGATCCCGTAAATGCAAGCTCCGCCGGTCAAGATTCCGCCACCGCTGGTAGATAGAGCAAACGATCCGAAACTCCTCATCATGCTCCAAGAGTCCAAAGTCGTCAACGCAAGATCCCCAACGCAGAAAATTCTAGAAGCGCGTGAGGTATTGACGCACCCTATCATTCGAGCGAGATCGTGGCGATGATCCACCCTCGTCGTCAGACCTTGGCTCGTACGCCGGTGTGTCGTATGCTGGTGGTGCTTCATTCGGTGGAATGATGCTGTGGTATGCCGGAGGGGCCTCAACATCGTCAACGGCGCGGCGAGGATGCAGGTTGGGACGGGGAGGAAGGGTCCCGTTCTCGATGTCGTCCATATGACGGGCGTACAGGCTGACGAACGGCGTTTGACCACGGCCGGGAGAGGCAGGCGGAGATGTTGAAGGAGGCGATCTCCTCGTATCTGGCTGCATTGCAGTTGTCTCTTGTGCTCTGGCCTCCTGTGCTTCCAGCCTTGCTTCTTCCGCTTTGTCATGTGCCACTTCGCGATCCACATCGGTGCTGATGTTGCTGCTTGAACTCGCGGTGCTACTACGTCTTCTCGTGAAGTCCGTCATCCAGCGCTCTCGCTCTCTGCCTTCCATAACCAAGAAGCACACCCACTCGCTTTGACTCAATTCGTCGGGCTCGATCTCGCGCATGCGCAGTTGACTCGCGGCGAGATGGCGGCGTTGGATCGACATTGGCCTGTTCGTGATGGCCTCGACTTGTAGTGCTCCGAAGCCACCCGATCTGATTGATGGAGTGTTGTACATCGCTGGCCTTCTGGCCCTGCTACGTGCTGGCATGGTGGCGGTTGTGCTGTTCTCTCTGGCGAAAATCAGTGAGCCCTGCGCCAAAACTGTCATCCAGAACAGGCGTGAAAGGGGACTCGGGTCTGCTTCGTGGTATGCAAATTGCTATCCAGGCAAACACGACGTCCAATATCAGAGTCAGTTGTCTGCGACAGTGCTTACCGCCAGTAAGCTGCTACCGGTTATCCACCTGTCACATGCGTGTATTCCAACTTCCAAGCCTCCCAAGCAATCAAGATACCCACAGCGCACACGAGGGGGTCGCGTGGTCTCCACTCCTTCTCAGCGTCTTCGCCAAACGAAGAACGTCTCCCGTCTCTTTCTCGCCTTCGCGGCAATGTAGTACGGTATGATCCCTTTGGCGGACAGTCCACGAACAGAGGCTAGTGGAGAGCCTAGACCTGCAGGTACCTGGTATCATCTACCCCGCTACTGTACGCAAGACGATGATAAGTCGTGAGCGTAAGCAGGGACCTTGGCGGAGGGCGGTCCTGACGGTCCTGTCTACGTTTCTGTTCATATATTGCCGAGGGATATGTGCCGCTTTGGGAGCAAGTGCAGGCCCGGAAATCGCGCTCTATAGCCTCAGCTAAAGGCGTCATAATGGCGGGTATGTGAGTGTGGAAGCGGGGGCAGTGGTGATGCAAGCGATATCGGGTACTATTGGTCTTGGTGCTTTGTTGAGCTGAAGTTACACAGCTGTCCGCGGAAGAGATAAGTACTCGGCACGGCCTGACGATTCATGGCACGCGGGCCGGAAATTCAAGGCCAAGAAGCAGCACTCATTGCCTGTTACCTTCATGTTATTAGCATTATCGTGGGCAGCGTAGCATCTCCGAAGGGACCAGGACCAAGGGTCTTCACATGTGATTAGACCGGAGCAGATTCCCCGTTCGGAAAGCCGTGGAGCACTGGAGGCCGGAGGTGGAGATGGAGATGGAGGTGGAGCCGCTATTCTATCAGCAATGAGATATCAAAAATCACGAACAACTCTCATTGTATCAAAATACATCTCCTCTCATCAACCCCACCTCCCTTCACATCCTCCCCACAGGCCCATCCCTCCTCACAACCCCCAAACAAGCCCTCGTAATCTCCTCCACACTATTACAACCCGTCAACTGCATACATCGCTTCAACTCATCATAAAAAGTCTCCAGCATTAAATCCACCCCATTTTCCCCAGCATACGCCAAACCCCAAAGCGCAGGCCTTCCCACCCAGCAGCATTCCGCTCCGAGAGCCAGAGCTTTGAACATGTTTGTTCCACTCCGAATGCCGCCGTCGATGGAGGCGGGGACGTTGTCGAGTTGTCGGCCGCCGTGGTTGGAGATCTGGTGAAGGTCATGTCAGTCAGAGTGTGAGTTGGCTTGTTGTTGTTGTTCTTGTTGTTGTTGTTGTTGTTGTTGGAAGTATAAACTTACCAAAATCCCATCACACCCCATCTCAATCGCCTTCACCGTATTCTATCCTCCGCAGTCAGAACTCCTTTGATCCAAATCTCCATCGTCGTATGCTTCCGCAACCACGGGATTTCCTCGTCCCAACTATGCGCATCTTGACGTTCGCTCTCCAATGCCGGTCGACTTTGTGCACTTCTAAGCATGCTTGAGGACACTGAACAGGATAGTGAAGCCAAGTCATGTGAATTTGTGCCCGAGTCCTTCACTCGGGGCGTGTGTGATGGCCACGGCTCTCGTCGTACAGCCCTGCGCCCTACTAATTGCGGTGCATTCAGCGGCGCCTCTTGGCCAGCGCGTAGGATTCTGCCTCCAAGTCGTCGAAGCTGTCGCGCCTCTTCCTCTTCGAAGTCAAGGCGCACTGGAAGACGCTTGGAGCAGGCGCGACGTCCTCCATGCAAGTGTCGGAAGAAGTGTCGCTCTGGCAGTCGCTGCTGGGCTCCCAGACCTGTCCGGAGATGCAGATGGTCGGGATGTCCACATCGTCCTGCGTCGGCTTGGGGAACAGGAAGCCAAGAATAGCAGAGCGCGAGAGGAGCGCAAGCTGATTGAGAGAAGGCATTTCGAATTGAGTGGACGTGTGTTTGATGGATGATGCAAAAGAGCGTGCAATGTAGAAGAAGACAAGCGTGTACCGCGTTCGTTCACGCGGACAAAACGTCTTATTGCCTTACCTCTGACCTATTAAATACATTCGGCCCCAATCATCCTCCTGATCCGGCCAGATTTGGCATTTTCGTGAGTGTCAGCCATCCTTTTTCTTGCAGACCACCGAAGACTATCGACGGAGAAGGGCCAAATTTAGCATACGGATTACGGATCACCACGTTGTAGGGGTTTCACCCGGCGATCGGCTTGGATGGAGCCGTTCCTGGGGCCCATACAGCCAGTGAGCGCTGTGCATTTTTCGATGATTGTGCTGCAGGAGCTCGGGCTGGCTTTTCTGCTGCTGCAGGAGGGACGCAAAGAAAGTAGGAACGTTGGCTGATACACGCCACGGCTGAGCTTAGGCGTGAAAGTAAAAGGACAAGCTTGCAGCTACATATTGGTTGGCACCCTCTCTACCCTCCGTTTCAGCTTTGTTTCCCTCCTACTCCACGTTCACCATACCTGGAACAATCAACAAGAGCTGATTCCCATCTTGGAGGCCACACAGACAGCGGCAATCATGGGCAAGTAAGTGTCCCCAGCACAAAGGCATCAGCAGATGCAATGGCTCAGCATCAGAAGTACACCACTAACAATGACATCTCCAGACCAGTGCATCCAGCAACAGTCCACTTCCCAATCTCCTTCCTCTTCCTCGGCTACGCCCTCGACACCCTCAACCACGTCCGCACCCGCCTCCCAAACAGCATCTCCTCCAACCTCGCCTCCCCAAACGACATGACCCGCGCATCCTACTACCTCCTCTCCCTAGGCCTCCTCACCGCAATCCCGGCCTTCATAACCGGCGGCCGCGAACTGATGATGATGCTCAACAAACAAGGCATGAAAGACACTGACGGCACCGTAAAACCCAAAGTCAAAGCCGCCTTCGCCCACGCAATCTTCAACGACATCGTCCTCGCCCTGAGCACCTACATCTGGTACCACAAACGCTCTGCCGCCAACGAAACACTCAACCTCCAAGGCAACGTCGAATCCGCATACGCGCCGAGCAAGGGAATGGTGATTGCAGGCGTCATCGCGACAATTCTCATGCTCATGGCTGCCAATATCGGCGGTGTTTTGACGTATAATTTTGGCGTGGGCTTTACGACGATTAGTAAGCCGAAGGAGGGTAAGAAGATGAATTGAAACACATATAACCCTGCCTTGAGATGAGAAGCTGATCTGGAAATTTTTTTTTTCCTTTTGTGGACAGTCAACCTTCGAGCCGGAAAATACGCGGATGATATTCCTCTCAAAAAGGAAATCAAGCAGGCGGAACTGGCGGGGAGTCAGTATGGGAATTTGGCCGCTTGGTCTTCGGCGACTTCTGGTACGCCAATTTCGCATAGCAGCTAAGAGGTCTTTTGCTACCTCTCTCTCTCTCTCTCAAGAGATGATTTATTGATGTAGATGAATCAAACGCTAAAACGTTTCCTCTTTTGGGGGGTTTTTAGAGAATTTGCACGCTCCCGCCGTACCTACTCCTCCGCCGTCGAGATAGCAGCAGCTTCGAGAGGGTGTGGCGGCTGTGGTGGAAGTGAGGCGAAAGCAGAGGCTTTTGGCTTGCTTACAAGAGGGCGAAGAAGCTGGAGGAGATTGAGGGTTTGAAAGATGAGATACGAGCATAAAGTCGATACGGGTATGATATTGGAGCTTTTACCGCGGGCTTTTGTTAGATCTTTGCGTAGCACGGAACAAGAACATATAGACTCTTGAAATCACCGCCTTAAAAGGAAAATTGCTCTGACGCTGAACAGCGGCTTGCGCGGCTGCAACATTGATTCCAGCGAAGCTGGAAGGGCTTCAGGCGGAAGATTAAGCACACACACATATATATATATATATTCAAAACGGCACTCGAAATCATAATAATCATATGAGATTGCCGATCGAAAAGACTGTAGACCGGACTTGGAGACCTCATTACCGATCTCATTGACGACTCCTCCCCTTTCTGCTTTAATGTGACATATCCGTTTACCAACAACTCAGCAGTTCACCTCCGTCGCAGGGAAGTTCTTAGGATCAGTCCTTAACCTCAGATATCATGTCCAAAAGCCAGCGACAACAGCCCGTGACAGTACCAGGATCATGCAGCTTTTCCACACAGCCTTGGAACGTTCAGGATTCTACCTCGATGAAGTCGTAGCTGTGCCGCGGTTCGAGATTCCGTCAGTGTCCCAAGTAGTCCACCCAATAGGAGCAACCTGACTGCAATCTCAAAAGATATTCAAAGCCATGCTACAACTTCACCTCTCTCCCCAAAGCCTCATCCCTCGACACAACTTCCAATCTCCGCGGTCCTTCCCTCTTGAAATCCACAAGCACACAAAGTTCCCTACATCCCGCTCTACCAGTCCCTTCCAACTCCGGACCAGGTTTATGCAAAGCAAGAACCTGCTTCCCATCCTCCCTCTTCTTCGGCGGCGGCATAGTCTGCGGCGAAATACACATATGCGTCCAAGGCGGGTTCCCAGACTTGACGAACTGCAGCAACCGCCTCCTTCTCACTTCCAATTCCTCTCTAGGTACAAGTTCCCTCGAGATAGAAGCATAATCCGTCGGAGCCTTCAGATCATCGAAATGCTGCGCGACGTGATGAAGCAAAAAGAATTGCGGAGGGAAGAGGATGATCCGTCCTTCCTGCGCCAATCGACACCAAGCGCTCGCAGGCAAGAAGCGCGCAGTAGTATGTTCCTTGCCCCCATCAGTCGTAGGAGAAGGAACCCTCACTTCCGCCTCACTGTCCGCGGAAATCGGCGTCGAGGAAGAGAGCGTCGGGAGAAAATACAAATACATCTGCGTCGTAAACCTCTTCGGAACATTCGTCGGAGTCACCCATCTCGTAAAAGGGATCAAACCCTCAAGATCCGCCCTCCCCCCTTTCTGCGCCAGGAATTTCGGAAACGGGATTTCGCTGGAATGCACGAGTTTTCTGCCCGCTTCGCGTTCGGATTCTGGGATTTCGATCAGACGGCCGAAACCGTTGTTGCGTGCTAGAAGGATTCCGGATTCTTCGAAGGTTTCCCGGATGGCGGCCATGCGGTAGACGGGGCTGTCTTCGTGCCGGCCTGCGGCATTGGGTTCGGGAGCTCGGCCGTCGTGGAATTCGGAGACGTTGCCGCCGGGGAATACGTGGGCCGAGGGGAAGGATGAGGATTGTTTTACTCTTTGTAGGAGGAGAACCTGGTTTTGAGGCGATATGACGAGGACGCTTGCGCTGGGCCTTGGGATTGCTACGGTCTTCTTCCCTTCAGCGGGATTCGTTGAATATGAGCGGACTGATGTGGCTGCTCGCTTCTCTTTTGGTGGCATGGCTGTTGGGCTGTAGTATTCCTCGCCGGTCTGGTGCTGATTCTGTTGTTGTTGTTTCTGGTTATCTTGCTGTATTGCCTCGGCTATTCGAGAAGTTTGTGATGATAGGGGTGCTGAGGATACGCTGAACTCGCGCAGACTACTTGGAAGACGTAAAAGATATCTGAGATGTGTGGGAGAGAAGAAGGACATCTCACATGCGAGTCAACGGTATCGGGTAGGTGGTAGTGGGTGGTGACAAGTTCATCTCGCTCTCGCTCGAGCGCAGCGCCGGTCTGACCACCAAAATCGCCGAGCTGACCACCGCGGTGGTTAGGAACTCTAAAATGACAGGGGGTTAGCCGAGGTTAAGCTAAAAGGTATAATATACTAATGTGCGGGGAAAGGTATACCTTTCCCTATTGCTTTCCTATACTATTTACTACGAATACAAATACGAATAAGAAAACTACGGAATAGTAAAGATATTAAATATTCTACCGACCTATACTAAGAACTAGATGCTAACGCCGCTATCCTCGGAGAACCTACCGCGGGAAAGGCCTATTCTATTACAAATCGTATATTATTCTAATACTATTCCGATTATATTCCGATTATATCTATTTTAAGTACTAAAAGCAATTTAAGGTCGATCTTACCGAAGGGAATAGCCCCCCTACGACTGCTTAGCTCGGATTTAACGACAATAATACCTACGAGAAGGACTACTAAAGGCTAGAATTTAAGGAGTACGACGAGGAGTACTATAAAAGCCGATTAGCGGTACTATATATCGACGACGACGTTAAGGACGTTATAAGATATATAAGGGCATTCCTATTATAATATTAAACGAATAAGAACTTATTTATAATAGGATAGGATTGTTATTACCTCGAACCGCGACGCTATTAGGGCTCGTTTTGTCGAATACGTAACTGCGATACCGTAATATCCGAAGACCTACGAAGATAGATATATATACGTAATCGACTGCTCTACGACTAGTGCTAAGCCGGAGCTAGATATAAGTGGATTCTTAATCCGATATTATTCCGATCTAATCGCTTTAAGAAACGATTAAGAAACGATTAGTAAGGATAGCTAATAGAGAGGTAGATACAATATAGCGTTCCCTTAGTAGGAACGAAGGGGGCTATTCTAATAGTATCTAGTTGCTTAGGCAATATACCGTATACTAAGACGTCGTACGACTGCTTAGGTATTAAGTAGTGCTAGTAGTTATACGAGAACCTAGTATCTATAGATTACTACGAGGTCTCGGAAGAATAGTAGAAGATAAGAAAGAGATTAAATCTCGAAAGGTTTAACGAGGATAATCCTAATCTAGCGAGAAAGAACGCGTCGAGGTATATAATTCTAATATTAATAGTTTCCTAGGCGAATAATAGCGATAGGCTCTACTAGTCGCTCCGAAAAGAGTTCGAAAATAGGATATTCTATAAGGCCTTTAGGTACGACTCTTATAAGATAAAGTTTGGATTCTTCAATCTACGTATAAGTAATGAATCCTATACTAATGTCAATCTAATATTATTGCGATATAAATAGACTCCGATTTATTTCGTATACTAATACTAAACGAAATAGCTTAAAAGGATAACACTAGGCGAAGGATTTATCTACTATACGAACTACGACTCTTCTAGCCTTAATAAATACGATTATCGCTTCCGCGCGATTAAGCTAGCGGAGAATATCGATTACAAATAGATATAGAGCCTAGTTATAGGGGTAAACAATTAGTCTAGGATTCTAATTACAAAGCGATAGTATACGGAGATCGTATAAGGGACGAGCCTACGGAGGATATACCGTAAGTGTAAATGGATTCTTATTAGATTGCTAATAAATTAATATCGCAATTAGGTTACAATCACCTCCCCTCTAGACTAGGTTTCCTTAAGAAGATTAGTTGTCTAGTTAAAATAAGGAAGATCGTTCCTATTAACTTTGCGGTATATCCTTACGTTATCTTCGTATCCTTTTTTAAGTATTGTTATCTACCGCCGCCGCCTATACGACCGCTTTAATCCTATAAGGATGAAATCTCGAGACTTATTACTTAAACGCTATTAGCAACGATAATACTATATATATTAAGCAAATAAGAATCGTATACTAAACAGTTAAGAAACTAATTAGAACGGGATAAGCTATCTTCCTTTAGACGTTCGCCCTATAGTAGTACCTCCGAGATAAAGGGGTTTACGCCCTTAGCGAAATTCATCTTAGTCTAGAGAATACTAATAATATTAGACGGGAAATCCGACGACAAAAGCTTATTTACTATCTAGACGGAACGACGATAAATAGAGTCTAATTTAAGTATAATATCGAGCAGAAGAACCCCGAAACGGTAAGAAAGTCGATTCCTATTCGATTTACATTCCTTTCTTAATATATTCCGAGTCTACTAACATTCTATTTAGTAATATATTTAGGGTATATAGTAGATAGAACAAGAGTATATAACTATTACATTCTTCGTAGAGTAGGCGTCTCTATTCCTTTCCTTCGATACCTTCGAGGTCGATATATCGTTCTAACGTATTAAGGAAAAGAATATAAACGAAGTAATTCTCGGACGATAGGATAAAGAGAGAACTATTCGTAAGTAATTCGCATTCCGATAGTATACTAATATTATTCTATTCTGAATCTATTCTTAGTCCTTGTTTTCGCCCGAGCCTACGTCCGTAGAGAATCCGAGTTAATATACTAGAACTTCTTTACGCGAGTCTTCGGAAGGATGCGTAAGGTTACTAGAACCGTAGTAACCTTTTACTATATCTACGGTAAAGGAATTCGAGCGGTCGTAACCGACCTAAACTTAAAGCAGGCTAAAGGTATAAGAAAGCATTCTTATCTCAATCTTATTACGATAATATGGTAATATAACGCTTCTTATAGGCTTAGGACTTTATCTTAAGAAATTAACTATTAAAACCGCGATTAGAGGGTATAACTCGAACATATTATCCTCTATTACGTAATCTATTACCGGAGGAACATTAATAAGGCTATTTAGAACGAGAGCCTATACGATCGATCGATCCTTTTCGCTTAGATAGATAGTATCCGTAGATTAAAATTAAAAGAGGCTTATATAAAGGAAGTTAAAGCTTTAGTAGGTAAATAAGAAAGCTTTTAGATTAGAATCCTAAATAAATCCTATTGCTAGGTTATTTAAACGAGAAAGTAGTAAGGTAGTGCTAGGCACACGGTTATAGTACGAAGGTATCGTAACGGTTGTACGGTGCAAAAGTTAATGTATTCTCTAAGGTGCCGCGAGGTAAGCTATCTATATAATAGTCCTACTATTAGTAGCAATAGCGACCGCAGCGGTCGATAGTAACCGCTACCTACTATCGTATATGCAATAGTGTTATATCGTAATAGCCTCCCCCTTTATAAAAAAGGTCGGCACTGTCTATAGTATCCTAAAACAAAGGTCCTTAGTAGGCCGCACCGTAGGAAGGTTTAAGGCAAAAGAGCGTAATAGCGTCGTATAAAGGCTAAGCCTAAACAGTATACTAGAACGGTAATGCTAGGTATAGAATCGTATCTCTCTAGTAATAACTGCGTCGGTCTTATACTTGCTTGTTACGACGGTTACAAAGAGCGTCGCGTAAGCTAGTCGGTATAGTCTAAACCGCCTTTAGCTACGGCTAAGGCGCGACGGTCTTTATAGTCTTATTATCGGATAGCGAGGTATTAACTGCGTCCGCTATAGTAGTAGCGCGGTCTAACTAATCGATAGGGATGTTAGGGAAGTCGGCACCTAGCAATAGTAGCGTATCGGCATCGTATATAGTACCGTATAGCTTAAAGTAGTCGGTTATCTATACGTTAAGCTTTGCGATCTCATCCTTAGTAGTATTACCTTATACGCCGCCGAGTAGCTTAAAAGCGTCCTCGTTAATTAGGTATAGTATAGGAATTGCCTATTGCGGCGCGACGCGTAAGAAATCGTAGTAAAGATAGGTTAGCGATAGCGTAAGCGACTCCTTTAAGACCGTAGCGGAAAGACGATACTACTAGGCTATCTAGCGCTTAGTTGCTTCGCGGATCTGCGCCTTAGCTAGCATCTATTGTAGCTAGTGCACCTCGATTGCTACTAACTCGGACTAGCGTATATAGTAGAGAGCTTATAAATTAAGCGTACGTATACCAATTGCCGTCGTATTGTATTAGTATTGTCCGTAGGCGCCTATAGTGTTTTCCTATAAGGCGGGCAAAGGTAGCAAGCGTATCGGAAGCGATAGGAGCTTGTGCTATAGCTACGCAACCGTATTATTAGGCGGTAGTAGCTAAGCCGCAACTAGAGCCTTCGTAGGCGTAGAGAATAGGTTAGACGGTAGCGGCATCTTCGACGGTAGGCGAGGCGCTAAGAACGGGCTAGCGGTTAGCTTCTAGCGAGTGTTTAACTTAGTCGATAGTAACGCGCGCGAGGAATTTAGCTAGATCGCCTTAGTTAGCGGGGCAACCGGCTTAGCCCGAGTCGCGAGCTCTAGAGGGATAATTTTGCCGAAAAGGTGCGCGTTAGTAAGGTCGGTCTCGTCTAGCGAGTAGTCGGGTAACGGCACTAGGAATGCACCTATAGGATCCTAAGTATAGTCGATATTGTACTACTAGTAATTCTTATTCGTTACTATCTTATCGTACTTAAAAATAGTATTGCCCTATATAATACGCTCCTATACGCCTAAAGGATCGAAGACTAGATCGGTAGAGGCCGTCTTCGGCAAATTATAGAACTGCAGCGTTAGCGCGGGCTCTAATCTATTAGGGATAGCGCCGTCCTTAAGCGTCTAGATGTAGGCGATAAAGGTAGATAAGGCGTATGCCGGATCGATCTAAGTTAGCTAGTAGACTAAGCTAAAGTCTACCGGGCATTAACAGTTAAGGAGTAGTAGAGGTATGCCTTTGCCCTTGTTAGCGGCATAGGTACCGTTCTAGTAGCGACCGCTACTAGTAAGCTAAGCGTACTGTTC